GGTGAAGGACTACTCTGGCCGTCAGCCCAACCATGAACAGCTAAGTGCTGTGGTCTGTGAGAGCGACCCTAAACCAGGCTTCTCCTTCGTACTGGAGAACTTCGCCGAGCTGCTGGATGACACCTTCCTACAGAACCTCACCGCCCGCATCTGTGAAGGTACACCTTGGTTCTGATTCAGACTGTAACATTACTTCAGTGTAAAAGTTGAATTTACATTGGCTTGAAAATGTCCTATTAATTTTGGTTTCTCTATTTCCTTCAACAGATAAGAAGTGTCCCAACTACAAATGTCCCAGTAAGCCACTGCTTGTTACCATGTGGTTGATCTCTGGCCTCATCTCTGGCCTCATCTCTCCAGTCTCATTGTCTTCAGACATGTACATGGGTTAGGATCAGGATCAGGATCAGGATCAGGATCAGGGTTAGGATCAGGATCAGGGTTAGGATCATGGTTAGGATCAGGATCAGGGTTAGGATCAAGATCAGGGTTAGGATCAGGATCAGGGTTAGGATCAGGATCAGGGTTAGGATCAGGATCAGGGTTAGGATCAAGATCAGGATCAGGGTCAGGATCAGGGTTAGGATCAGGATCAAGATCAGGGTCAGGGTCAGGGTTAGGATCAGGGTCAGGATCAGGATCAGGATCAGGGTTAGGATCAGGGTCAGGATCAGGGTCAGGATCAGGGTTAGGATCATGATCAGGATCAGGGTTAAGATCAGGATCAGGGTCAGGGTTAGGATCAGGATCAGGGTTAGGATCAATATCAGGGTTAGGATCAGGATCAGGGTTAGGATCAGGGTTAGGATCAGGATCAGGGTTAGGATCAGGATCAGGGTTAGGATCAGGATCAGGGTTAGGATCAGGATCAGGGTTAGGATCAGGGTTAGGATCAGGATCAGGGTTAGGATCAGGATCAGGGTTAGGATCAGGGTTAGGATCAGGATCAGGGTTTCTCTGTATAGATGTTGTGGTTTATCCTGTCTCTCCTCCTGTCTCCAGTCTCGTTCTCAGGGGACACAGACATCATGCTGATGATGGACAGCTCAGCCAGTGTGGGACAGAGGAACTTTGATTCCAGCAAGACCTTCGTCAAGCGTCTGGCCGAGCGTTTCCTGTCTGCTGAGAGGTCCGGCCGAACTGCTGTGCGTGTCGCCGTGGGCCAGTACAGCCGTGAACGGCGCATGGAGGCGGCGCTGACCTCTAACCTCACCCTGCTGACCAGTAAGATCGATGCCGCCGCCTTCCAGAATGACGGTACTGACGTTACCAAGGCGATGGCCTTTGCCATGGAGCAATTCCAGACGTCAGGGGGCGGGAACAGGAAGAGGAAGCTGGTGCTGTTCTCTGATGGGAGGTCGCAGGGCGTTACCGAGGCGATGTTGGAGAAGCGCGTGCGGCTGGTGTCTGAGGCGGGAGTGGAGCTGTACGTTATCACCGTGGGCAACCAGGTGAGCGAGGCCAACCTGCGCTCGCTGGTCAGCAGAGGGAGGAGATACGACGTCACCTACGCCCAGCGCCACCTGTTCCGCGTCCCAGACTACCCGTCTCTGCTGCGTGGCGTGTTCTACCAGACCGTGTCCCGCAGGGTCTCCCAGGTCTGAGTGCAGGGGCCAGGGCTGGGACCACATGCTTTAGAGTTCAGTCTCCCTCATTATGAATGGCCATTCATACTTCGTCGCTCATTTACAATCACTGTGTTTTAGTTGTGTTTTTATGTCCGATAATGACAGAAGACGATTGTGTGTCAGATTGTGTTAAGAGATTGTGTTACACTGCGTTCATGTGCTCTCTGAATTACCAGGACCTTTCAACTGGAAAACTCCTGAAAACCTCCCGTAACAGAAACTAGTTTCATACGTCCAAAACAGTTGTAACATCTTCCTGTCAGACTGTTCCCAGTTCCATTATTCCCAGTCAGACTGTTCCCAGTTCCATTATTCCCAGTCAGACTGTTCCCAGTTCCATTATTCCCAGTCAGACTGTTCCCAGTTCCATTATTCCCTGTCAGACTGTTCCCAGTTCCATTATTCCCTGTCAGACTGTTCCCAGTTCCATTATTCCCAGTCAGACTGTTCCCAGTTCCATTATTCCCTGTCAGACTGTTCCCAGTTCCATTATTCCCAGTCAGACTGTTCCCAGTTCCATTATTCCCAGTCAGACTGTTCCCAGTTCCATTATTCCCTGTCAGACTGTTCCCAGTTCCATTATTCCCAGTCAGACTGTTCCCAGTTCCATTATTCCCTGTCAGACTGTTCCCAGTTCCATTATTCCCAGTCAGACTGTTCCCAGTTCCATTATTCCCTGTCAGACTGTTCCCCAGTTCCATTATTCCCTGTCAGACTGTTCCCAGTTCCATTAATTCCCTGTCAGACTGTTCCCCAGTTCCATTATTCCCTGTCAGACTGTTCCCAGTTCCATTATTCCCAGTCAGACTGTTCCCAGTTCCATTATTCCCTGTCAGACTGTTCCCAGTTCCATAATTCCCTGTCAGACTGTTCCCAGTTCCATTATTCCCTGTCAGGACTGTTCCCAGTTCCATTATCTGTTCCCAGTTCCATTATTCCCAGTCAGACTGTTCCCAGTTCCATTATTCCCAGTCAGACTGTTCCCAGTTCCATTATTCCCTGTCAGACTGTTCCCAGTTCCATTATTCCCTGTCAGACTGTTCCCAGTTCCATTATTCCCAGTCAGACTGTTCCCAGTTCCATTATTCCCAGTCAGACTGTTCCCAGTTCCATAATTCCCTGCCAGACTGTTCCCAGTTCCATTATTCCCTGTCAGACTGTTCCCAGTTCCATTATTCCCTGTCAGACTGTTCCCAGTTCCATAATTCCCTGCCAGACTGTTCCCAGTTCCATTATTCCCTGTCAGACTGTTCCCAGTTCCATAATTCCCTGTCAGACTGTTCCCAGTTCCATTATTCCCTGTCAGACTGTTCCCAGTTCCATAATTCCCTGTCAGACTGTTCCCAGTTCCATAATTCCCTGTCAGACTGTTCCCAGTTCCATTATTCCCTGTCAGACTGTTCCCAGTTCCATTATTCCCAGTCAGACTGTTCCCAGTTCCATTATTCCCTGTCAGACTGTTCCCAGTTCCATAATTCCAAGCAACACATGAACGCAGCATTAAACAGAAAGGTTACTGTAAAATAATGGGTTTTTTTTGTGTGTTTTTTAAAACAAACTTATTTTATGTTGTTTGTAGATCAGACAGAACAGGATATGACATCACTACATATTTTTTAAACATCAAAGTTAAACATCCTCCCTCTAGACAACCTGGTCCTAATCCAGATACTGAACAGCTGGACACAGACTGTTGGCGTGGTCTCTAATGTCCACTATATCATGTATAAACAGTTTGTCTGGGTTCGCTTGTTCAGATGAGGACAGCCTCACACACACAACCAGACGGGAAAACATCTGTCACCATGTCTGCACCTCTAAACCTGATGTGGTGAAGAAACCATTAATGACTGTCACACACACAACCAGACAGGAAAACATCTGTCACCATGTCTGCACCTCTAAACCTGATGTGGTGAAGAAACCATTAATGACTGTCACACACACATACACTCCTCTCTGTATCAGCCTCATTAACCCTTGAAGGCTGCGAACTGTCAACTTTCTTTTTGCTGGATTATTCAGCCTTTCAACATTCCAGGTAACAGATTTGTGTGTCGTCAGCAGGGAAGGATGAGTCCCTCTATGTAATAAATAATGAATCCATGGTGCTATCGTTCAAAGCCAGTGTCTCAGTGTCAGTGGACAGACTTCTATGTGTAAAACCGATGATGTTTTGATCTGAAAGCAAACCTGCCGTCAGACAGGCTGCTAGACCTGAGCAAGCTGCTTCATTAAATGCCGCTTCACCCAATAAATGTTTCTGTAGTGTCTGTTTTCTGTATGTCCTACACACACACACACACACACACACACACACACACGTGCGCACGCACACGCAACACACACATCTCTCTTCTGTCCTTCAGATAGACACACCTCTCTTCAGACAGACACACCTCTCTTCAGACAGACACACCTCTCTTCAGACAGACACACCTCTCTTCAGACAGACACACCTCTCTTCAGACAGACACACCTCTCTTCAGACAGACACACCTCTCTTCAGACAGACACAGCTCTCTTCAGCCTAATATAGAGGTGTTTGGTCTGGGTTAAAGAGTGCACATCCTGAGTCCATGCCCCGACGAATTGAGGCTGTTCTGAGGGCAACTCAATATTAGGAAGGTGTCCTTAATGTTTTATACACTATGTATAACTACTGCTGTACACACCTTTTCTATTCATATACAGTGGGGAAAAAAAGTATTTAGTCAGCCACCAATTGTGCAAGTAGGATTATTAATGAATTTATTTGCAAATTATGGTGGAAAATAAGTATTTGGTCACCTACAAACAAGCAAGATTTCTGGCTCTCACAGACCTGTAACTTCTTCTTTAAGAGGCTCCTCTGTCCTTCACTCGTTACCTGTGTTAATGGCACCTGTTTGAACTTGTTATCAGTATAAAATACACCTGTCCACAACCGCAAACAGTCACACTCCAAACTCCACTATGGCCAAGACCAAAGAGCTGTCAAAGGACACCAGAAACAAAATTGTAGACCTGCACCAGGCTGGGAAGACTGAATATGCAATAGGTAAGCAGCTTGGTTTGAAGAAATCAACTGTGGGAGCAATTATTAGGAAATGGAAGACATACAAGACCACTGATAATCTCCCTCGATCTGGGGCTCCACGCAAGATCTCACCCTGTGGGGTCAAAATGATCACAAGAACGGTGAGCAAAAATCCCAGAACCACACGGGGGGACCTAGTGAATGACCTGCAGAGAGCTGGGACCAACGTAACAAAGCCTACCATCAGTAACATACTACGCCGCCAGGGACTCAAATCCTGCAGTGCCAGACGTGTCCCCCTGCTTAAGTCAGTACATGTCCAGGCCCGTCTGAAGTTTGCTAGAGTGCATTTGGATGATCCAGAAGAGGATTGGGAGAATGTCATATGGTCAGATGAAACCAAAATATAACTTTTTGGTAAAAACTCAACTCGTCGTGTTTGGAGGACAAAGAATGCTGAGTTGCATCCAAAGAACACCATACCTACTGTGAAGCATGGGGGTGGAAACATCATGCTTTGGGGCTGTTTTTCTGCAAAGGGACCAGGACGACTGATCCGTGTAAAGGAAAGAATGAATGGGGCCATGTATCGTGAGATTTTGAGTGAAAACCTCCTTCCATCAGCAAGGGCATTGAAGATGAAACGTGGCTGGGTCTTTCAGCATGACAATGATCCCAAACACACCGTCCAGGCAACGAAGGAGTGGCTTCGTAAGAAGCATTTCAAGGTCCTGGAGTGGCCTAGCCAGTCTCCAGATCTCAACCCCATAGAAAATCTTTGGAGGGAGTTGAAAGTCCGTGTTGCCCAGCGACAGCCCCAAAACATCACTGCTCTAGAGGAGATTTGCATGGAGGAATGGGCCAAAATACCAGCAACAGTGTGTGAAAACCTTGTGAAGACTTACAGAAAACGTTTGACCTGTGTCATTGCCAACAAAGGGTATATAACAAAGTATTGAGAAACTTTTGTTATTGACCAAATACTTATTTTCCACCATAATATGCAAATAAATTCATTAAAAATCCTACAATGTGATTTTCTGGATTCTTTTTTCTCAGTTTCTCTGTCATAGTTGACGTGTACCTATGATGAGAATTACAGGCCTCTCTCATATTTTTAAGTGGGAGAACTTGCACAATTGGTGGCTGACTAAATACTTTTTTTCCCCACTGTACTGTCCATACTGTCTATACAATTTTGTACATATATATTTATCTTCCGGACTTTGACATTGCTCGTTCAGAACCGAAAACCAGAAAATAACGACATTTTTCAAAGAACAGAAACGGAACCTGGAACGAAAGTGATCCATATTGTTCCGGAACAGAACCGTTATTTTTAAAGCATGGGAACTGGTTAATAACGTTCAAGGCATGTTTTTCTAGTCCCACTACAAAACGCAGCAAAGCCCTCACTCAGAAATGTGTTCAGGTGTCTGCCTGCAAACTGAAAATCTTTGCCTGTGTGTGTTTGCAGGCTACCTGCCCCTCCCCCCTTTGAATCAGAGGCTACGGTACTGACGCTACAAGCTTGATTCAGAAGAAAGGGAGAGAGATTTTTTATTAGCCAGAGATTAACTTTTTCAATGCTAGTTAAGGATATTATAGGCATAGTTATCAAGTTTCACGTAGGATTTATTAATTACAAATAGCTGAGACGTGTTTTTAATTCTGGTGCCGCTCTGCACACACAAGCTTGTTAGCTAGCTTGCTCAAAGGACATTCAAAGTCCCTCCTAGGTATAATTCTGTGGACCTAATTCACATACTACAAGACCATGGTGCTTGCCTACGGAGCTGTGAGGGGAACGGCACCTCCTTACCTTCAGGCTCTGATCAGACCCTACACCCAAACGAGGGCACTACGTTCATCCACCTCTGGCCTGCTAGCTCCCCTACCTCTACGGAAGCACAGTTCCCGCTCAGCCCAGTCAAAGCTATTCACTGCTCTGGCACCCCAATGGTGGAACAAGCTCCCCCACGACGCCAGGACAGCGGAGGCACTGACCACCTTCCGGAGACACTTGAAACCCTGCCTCTTTAAGGAATACCTGGAATAGTATAAAAGTAATCCTTCTACCCCGCCCTCCCCCACAAAAAAATAATTTTAAAAAATGGTGCAATTTGTAAGTCGCTCTGGATAAGAGCGTCTGCTAAATGACGTAAATGTAAATGTAAATAATGATGTCATAACAAGATGCTCAGCCTCCTCCTCAAACCTCTCGCTTTCTCCTGCAAAAATGTGTCGCATCTTGCGCCATGGGCTACACTTGTCTGTCCTTCACACACGTAAACAACTAGCTTGCCTGCTCTATCCACACTGATTGGTGAAGTAATGTAATTATCTAAATGTAAAAAAAACTTGATTTCACGGGTTTAAAAAAGGAACAAATGTACAGTACTTTGGTCGGAACAGTGGAACGAAACAAAAAAAAAAGTGGTTCTGTTCAGGATGAAACGATTGGAAACCCGTTTATAAGTAAAACATACATTTGATTAGCTGGCCAATTTCGAGTTGATAACAAGCGAGCTAAGGTTATTAGCTGGCTGGCTTTCTATGGGCTGAACAATGCTAGCTATAGTTAGCTATGCTAAGTAACGTTAGTTGCTACTTGCTAGCCACTAGATCGTGACGTTTTACCCTTGACCTACAATTTCCACGCCTAACGGAAATGAAATTAACATAATAGAGAATCTCTAACTTAAACAAAACAGATTTCTGTATCTGTTTTTTTTGCATGGGCTGCGTCTCAATCCACCGCATCTGCCGATATCGTCCTTCTGCATCTGTGGTGAAAGGTGGCAGAGCTAGAGCGATGTTTGTCAGATCATGACATCCCGAAAATTGGTCTTCTCACGAAAACGTCTGTAGCATCTGAACGGTTTGGCCTAGAAATGGTGTTCTCCGTTTTGCTCTAGGACACGCAATTGTCTGAAGTCGGTACAGACTCTTCTGCCAACTTCTGTCTGTAGACAATCCTGTCTCGGAGCGCTACCGACAATTCTGTCGACCTCATGGCTTGGTTTTTGCTCAGACATGCACTGTCAACTGTGGGACCTTTTTACATAGACAGGTGTGTGCCTTTCCAAATCATGTCCAATCAATAGAATTTACCACAGGTGGACTCCAACCAAGTTGTAGAAACAGCTCAAGGAGGATGATCAATGGAAACAGGATGCACCTGAGCTCAATATCTAATCTCATAGCAAAGGGTCTGAATATTGATGTAAATAAGGTAATTCCATTTTTTTAATAGTTTTTTTAGCAAACATTTCTAAAAACCTGTTTTCACTTTGTCATTATGGTGTATTGTGTGTAGATTGCTGAGGATTTTAAACATATTTTATCAATTTTAGAATAAGGCTGTAACATAAAATGTGGAAAAAGTCAAGGGGTCTGAATACTTTCCGAAGGCACTGTATATGGAGATTGTTTAGTGCCTAAAATGAGGGGATAAATACATATAAAAGGACGGACACTTCAGAACAAACTT